GCTACCTTGCAGCTGTCCGCAATTAGACTCCCACCTTCCCCCACCCAGCGACTGCTGGCTGGGGAATTCTGGGAGTTGAAGTCCGGACATCTTCAAGTTCCCAAGGTTGAGAAACACTGGTCTAGCGTTACAACTTCTCTGGAGAACAATATCCACCGATCTTGGCAGGACTTATCTGTCAACTAAATTGGGAGATGATAGCTGTCACCTTTGCCATCTTGGTGATCTTGGGCCAGTCACTATCTCTCTCTCTCTCAGCCCCTCAAAGGGTTGTTGTGGGGAAAACAGGAGAAGGAAAGTCAGTCACTGCCTTGTGTTATTCATAGAAATAATAAAGGTAGGATATAAATAAATAAAATAAATAACTCATTGACAAAGTGAGGGGAGAGAAGGGAGAATGCAATATAATTATACTTTCCAACAAATAAATAATAGCAATACATAAATAAATCTTCACTGGCAAATAAACCTCAGACTGAAATGAATGTATCTGTGTTGTTTTTAACTTGTCTTATTTTATTTTTATTTTATTTCCCTTTCTGTAAGCCGCCCGGAGTCCTTCGGGATTGGGCGGCCTATAAATAAAATCAAACTTACAAACTTAGCCTCCTGGTCAAGCTAGGAGTTTGCAGGAACGGGTCCCTTCAGCTGTCCACCCCAATATCCCCCTCCCTTGTTAATACCCGCAATTGGTTCTCAAGACCAATAGTGGTGGTGGTGGGAGGGGAGAGAATACCGGTCAAAGATGTTGGGCTTGGAATCAAAGTTGGCTTTCGAAATGGAGGAGCTGCGTCTGGAGCAACAGAGGAACTGCCAGCCCATTGCTTCAGCTGTCAAAAGAGGGGAAAGTATTCAAGGATATGGGGTGCCCAGCCTCCAAGGGGGCTCCGGGAAAGAGATGTGATGGGCGACAGAGTTCGCTGTTTGTGTAAAAGGGATAAATTAACACCTCGGGATGAAGTGAGCCGCTGATATCCACTCTCATGCGTGCCCCCTCCCCAATCCCCCCTTCCAGGATTTGACATGTTTTAAAATAGTTCCTATTAATGATTAATCAAGTCACACAATTAGGCTTGATTATCAAGGCACAGAAAAGATGGCTAGGGGAAGATGGGGAAAGGGGGGAAAAAAACGCGATTTGTTATTACATCCAGCTTGAGGTGTGATGCTGTAAGAACCACCAACCTTCGCTAAAAGGCCAGGAAAGTGGCGCTTGGCCTGGGGCTGTGATTGGAGAGACCAAAGGGGACGCCAAAAGGGGACGCTTCGAAGTGTCTCCTTGGGCAACTTTTGTCACCCTTTCAGAAAGACCTTGTGCAAAACAACGCCACGCCCCACGCCCCCCCCCCTCCAAGCACAGAGCACTTTCTGGACAATCCAGATCTGGAGAAGATCAATAGAAGGACATCTGGAAGAAACCTTAGGGTTTCTTTCACGTTGGCCAGGCTGTGTCCTCAAATGGGTCTTTTAGTCCACCCCCCCCCATTAATCTTCCTTTCTGCAGGGCTTCCTCAAGTCTATCAAAGGCGTTTCTCGGGATTCTTCTGAAAGAAGGAAGTTGGGAAAATAAAACTACATAACAGAACTGATTTAATGTCTCAGTGTAAAGTCTAAACACAATTCCCGCCCCCAATCTTGTAACTTTCTTTGCTAGGCTGCTCTAGAGCGATATAGTTCAAGCGTGAGGGTGATATTTTCCTCGAGTCATCTTTTAAACCGTTCTGGAATCGAGTCCTTTCGGAGCCAGGCAAATCAACCCCAATTAGGAGTCTACCAGATTTCTCCATCTCCCTTCAACCCCCCCAAATCAGCAGCCATCTTTCTTGGTTCCCCTCACAGGAGACCGGCTAGAGAGGTTCTTGTGAAAAGCATCGGCCAACTCAGGGTTTATTTAATTAGTAGTCAATGTGTTCGGGCAGTGGGAATGACCCCACACCCGTTAAATTCTCCTCCTCTCCTCCACGTTGACACAGAGGCTTAATACCTTGTCACTTATAAAATAGCAATAGCAATAGCAGTTAGACTTATATACCGCTTCATAGGGCCCTCTCTAAGCGGTTTTACAGAGTTGGCATATCGCCCCCCACAATCTGGCTCCTCATTTTACCCACCTCGGAAGGATGGAAGGCTGAGTCAACCCTGAGCCGGTGAGATTTGAACAACCGAACTGCTGAACTGCAGTCAGCTGAACTAAGAGAGGCAAGGTGGGTGTACGCACAGATCCTCCTAAATCCTGCCATCCTGCCTCTCTAAATACTTGTCAAAAGCTAGCCATGTGTTAAGAGAAAGAAAGGAATCTTTTCCCTGGAAGTTTGGCCAGACAGCTGGCTGGAGCGGGGAAAGGGGGAGGTTATGGGGAGCTGGGAACACGGCGTAGGGGGTCTTCTCTCCTTCTCACCTTGATCCAGCCTTCTGAGACAACTGGAGGGCCTTTTGCCCCCGATGACTCTGGGAGAAGCAGCGACCTCCAAGAAAAACTCTGGACGGCTAGAGAAGAAGGAAGCGCGCATATAGGCGTTCGCCAGGGCCCGGTGGAGGAGATCGGAGAGTCCGAGAGAACCGTTCGCACAGCTCAAGGCCTTCCCAAGGAAGGCATGCGCTTGAGAGGAAGGTGTGGGGACAACCGAGTGGCTTTAAGTCGCTGCCATTCAGGCAAGGAGAAGAGCAGAGCCGGCCAGCTTAAAAGGGAGGGGGATCAGAGTATCAGAGGAATGCCAGCCATGCCAGGCGAGTAAAGAGCCTTCTGATTTGCACAAATCCCAATGAGGGAAGAACTCGCCTCCAGATTGCCGATACAGACACATCCACATTTGCAAAAAAAAAAACATTTTAGACGTTGCTGGAGACAATTCGAGGCGCTGCTTTCTCAAAAGCCCTGCGTTTCTTTTGCAAGATTCATTAGAAAAAAATCGCCAGCTTGTTGTCTGGACACAACGCGGAGAGTTTAGGCTCCCGTTTGTTAGCTTCCCCTTGAAGTTGTCATTTCTATTGCTATTTAAAATGTCCAAACGATGGATCAGAAACCCCCCACCCACCCACCCCACCCATTTTGCCAAACCTTTTCTTGCAATGGGGGGGGAGGAAAAAATAAAAGTAGATGCATTCTGATGAAAAGCTCTGAAAACCTGCTACAGGATCGTTTTGCAACCGGGTCAATTCGAGATTATTAAACACTCTCAAAACGGGTTTTTTTGCGATTTCTCTTAACTTTCAGCACAGAGCTGCATATTTTCTTTTTTTCCTGTATCATCTGCTACCAACCAATGAAATCTGCCCATCGAGCCTATCCGCAAGCTCGGTTAATCTTCTCCAAAGCTTTCCAAAAGACCTGGTGGTATTAACAAAAGATATGACTGTGGTTAAAGCGACGTTGGCCTCTGGTTGACTGACTGGGGCGTGTGCGTGTTTTCATTCCGGACGAGGAGATCCTGCCATCCGATCCACCTAACGTCCTGTGCGAGGAAGGAGGCTTAGAGAAGCCGTATATGGATGGGAGGGGGGTATAGATGAGGTGTGTGTGTGTGTGTGGCCGGTCTCAGCACTGTAATTCTCCGAGCGGCGGTGGCAGCAACTTCTGGAGGACTAGAAGCAACGTTTCTCTCCGACGCCCATTGAGAACTCGCCTCCGCCTTTTCATTGGCTGCGCAGTCCGGTAGGGCGGAGCTTCATGGCCTGGAAAGAAAAGGGGGAGAGAGAGGGGGGAGGAAAACTCCAGCGAGTGCGTAAAAAAGTCTCTGCCGCCGCGACGGATGCTCAAAAGTTCAGAAGTTTTTTCCCCGCCGCCTTCCCGAGGAGCTCGCGGCTGAGCTGAGGCGAGGGAAGCCGAGACGGAGACCGTGGAGAGCCCTCCAGGCGTTGGAGAGAAGGTGGATCTTTCGTCCCGAGCTGAAAGGAGGAGGAGGAGGAGAAGGAGGGGGAGAGAAGGGGAGAAATATCCGGACCGCGGCCTCTCCCTCCACATTTTTTCCCCTCTCTCTCCTCTCTTACTTGCTGTTTACTTCGCCTGGCTGGGTGCAGCGTTGGTCAACCTGTTGGCGAGATCCGCGGGGAAGAAACGGAGTGAGCTCCCGTGAGTGCGCGCCTTTCTCTTTTTGCGCCCGATGGAAGTAACTAAGTTGTCTTCTCGGCGGCGGCCGCTTCCGTGGAGTGTCGGCGCCTCGGCTTAAGAAGAAGAAGAAGAAGAAGGACCCAGAAGGAGGAGGAGGAGGGGGGAAGGGAAGGAGACCGAGCCCCCCCCTCTCACCCCTCCTCCCTTCTCTTGCTGGCTGTTTTATTTACTGATTACTTTTTCGCGAGCCTTCTCCTTTGCGCGCACTTGAGCCGAGGAAGGGAGAAAACCGGATAGGATCCAGAAAAGGGGGGGTCGGTTCCTCGTCCCCCCCTCCTCCCTCTTTTTTTTCTCTTCTTCTTCTTTTTGGAAAAAAGGAAAATCCTGGTCGCCTCTCCTGGTTTATACTTTTTTGGCTCCGGATTTGCGGAGGGGTGGAGGGGGGAAAGCAGAGGAGGCGGCGGCGGCGGGGGAGGAGGAGGAGAAGAAGGCGGCGGAGGCGGCGGCGGAGGAGGAGGAGGAGGAGGCCCGTCTGCGGCTGCTGCGGCTGCTGCTTGGTCCGGCTGGGCTGCTGGAAGGGAGGCCATGCAGGCTCGCTATTCGGTGTCCAGCCCCAACTCGCTGGGAGTGGTCCCTTACCTCGGCGGCGAGCAGAGCTACTACCGGGCGGCTGCCGGAGGAGGCTACGCGGCCATGCCGGCCCCCATGAGCATGTACTCGGCTCACCCGGCCGCTCATGAGCAGTACCCGGGCGGCGGCGGGGGCCCCGGAGGCATCGGGAGGCCCTACGGCCCGTACCCACCGCAGCCGCAGCCCAAGGACCTGGTCAAGCCGCCCTACAGCTACATCGCGCTGATCACCATGGCCATCCAGAACGCGCCCGAGAAGAAGATCACGCTGAACGGCATCTACCAGTTCATCATGGAGCGCTTCCCCTTCTACCGGGACAACAAGCAGGGCTGGCAGAACTCCATCCGGCACAACCTCTCGCTCAACGAGTGCTTCGTCAAGGTGCCCCGCGACGACAAGAAGCCGGGCAAGGGGAGCTACTGGACGCTCGACCCGGATTCCTACAACATGTTCGAGAACGGCTCTTTCCTCCGCCGCCGCCGCCGCTTCAAGAAGAAAGACGCCGTCAAGGACAAGGAGGAGAAGGAGCGGCTCCAGCTGAAGGAGCCGCCGAGGCACCAGCCGCCAGAGGGAGGCCAGCAACCGCAGCAGCAACAGCAGCCGGCTCCCCCCGTCAGGCTCCAGGACATCAAGACGGAGAACGGCTCGGCGTCCCCGCCGCAAGCCTTGTCCCCGCTGGGAGGAGCGCCGGTGCCCAAGATCGAAAGCCCCGGGAGCTCCAGCACCAGCAGCCTCTCCAGCGGAGGAGGAGGAGGAGGAGG